GGTCTGTGCTTTTTAATCATGACTGTGGGCTGAATGAATATTACAATCCTTCTTTTTTTTTTTTTTTTTTGAGACAGAGTCTCGCTTTGTTGCCCAGGCTAGAGTGAGTGCCTGACGTCAGCCTAGCTCACACCAACCTCAAACTCCTGCTAAGCAATCCTCCTGCCTCAGCCTCCCGACAGCTGGGACTATACATGCGCCACCATGCCCCTATTTTTAGAGCCCAAGTGTTTGTGTTCAAATAGTGGTCCTAAAACTCAATAGTTGTGTGGCTTGGACAAGTCTCTTAGGTTTCTGGGTCAGACACTATGCTCAGTCCTTAATAAATGGACATATCTGGACACTTGGCAAATACTTACTGAGCAGAGAGATCACTAAAACAGCAGAGGTAGACTATTTGGGTGGTTAAATGCCATTTGGAGTCAAACCAACAGGTTTGAAATCTAGTTTTGGCACTTACTAGCTATGTAGTATGGGGCAAGTTTCTTAACCTCTCTGAAGTTGAGTTTATTGATCTTTAAAATGGTGATAATTATACCCTCTCTCCAGGGTTGTTGTGAAGGTTAAATGAGGTAACCTATGTAAACTACTTACTGTAGTGCAAGGCATAAAGTCAGGCCTGTATAAATGTTAGCCACGATTATTTTTATGGTTTCTTATACTGGAGGCAATTTACAGTGGCACAGGTGCATCCACATATATGACATACAATTGTGTTTAGTTCTTATAAAACACTAAGCTATTATTATTTTTAATTTGTCATTTGTACTAACCTTACAGAGGCTTGGAGAGGACTTGCTACTTGCTTAGAATCACAGCTTTTTTTTTTTTTTCCTTTCTCTGTCTCCAGGCCTAGAGTGCGGTGGTGTCATTATAGCTCACTACAACTTCAAACGTCTAAGCTAAAGCAATCCTCCTCCCTCAGCCTCCCAGCCTGTAGCTGGGACAACAGGCGCAGGCCACTAGGCCTACCTAATTTTGCTATTTTTAGTAGAGACCCGGTCTTGCTCTTGCTCAGGCTGGTCTCAAACTCCTGAGCTCAAGGGATCCTCCTGCCTCAGTCTTCCATAGTGCTAGGATTACAGGCGTGAGCCACCGGGGCGGCCAGAATCATAGATTTTAAGCGGGGGAGCTAGGATTCTAACCTAGGTTATGAGAATCCTTCTCATAGAGTTCCTTTTGTCCCTCTACTCACAGCCACCATCCATTTGGGAACAGCTGCAACACAAGGAGGACTATACTAAGAAGGACAATAAGGTCATAAAGTAATCAAGCAATAGGAAAGGAGAAATTCTCAATGAGGGCTCTGGAGAAGCTGCAAGATGGCAGCGGAGTTGGGCCTTGACAGATGTTTGCCGCTTTGGGAGCTGGTGCTGCTGAAGGACACAGTGGGTGAATTAAGGTGGGAACTGGCTGGGGAGATGGGGCTTTCAGTCCTGGCTCTGCACTAGGTAGTTACAAATGTTGAGAAGATCGTGTCCCTTCTCTAGGCGTGTTTCTGGAGGGACTGGTGCAGCGGGATGGGAGGGGTGCGGGGTAGGGACAGCTTTCAAGAAGAGACTGGCAGACTGGGCCGGTGGCTCACGCCTGTAATCCTAGCACTCTGGGAGGCCAAGACGGGAGGATCGCTCAAGGTCAGGAGTTCGAAACCAGCCTGAGCGAGACCCTGTCTCTACTAAAAATAGAAAGAAATTAATTGGCCGAATAAAAATATATATAGAAAAAATTAGCCGGGCATGGCGGCGCATGTCTGTAGTCCCAGCTACTCGGGAGGCTGAGGCAGGAGGATCGATTAAGGCCAGGAGATTGAGGTTGCTGTGAGCTAGGCTGATGCCATGGCATTCACTCTAGCCTGGGCAACAGGGTTTTTTGAGACTTTGTCTCAAAAAAAAAAAAAAAAAAAAAAAGAAGAGACTGGCAGACAGGCTGACCGGCTTGGAGGTGCTGATGCAGCCAGTCACTCACTCCGCGAGAGTGGTCGGGCTTCGCGGTGCCTAGCGCCGAGCTGGAACACAGCGTGTAAGTCTGTCGGGGACCGGTGGGGGCCATGAGGCAAAGATGCTCTTGGAAGAAATGACCTTGGTACCCGGGATGGGGAACATCTTAGCGTGCGGCCCCCAGGACTCCGCAGAGCTGGCCCCGCTGACTCTGCACTCCGACCGCCAGAGGGCGCTGCCTCCCAGCTGCAGTCGGAGGTGACCCTCTACCCGCTCCCGCAGTTCATCGGTCCAGCCTTCCGCCCCTCGTGTCTCCGGGGGTGCGGCGTGGGGGCTTGCCCTGGCCAGCACGGAGTGGAAGTGGGGTAGGGGTGTGTAAGATTGGGTCTGGTGGGTCCTGGAGACGCAGGCTGTACTAGAGTAGCAAGTGACCCTTAACAACGGGGAGAAGGCTGGAGGTGGGAAGTCTGGAACTTTCTGGGCCCACTGTAAGCCAGGGGCCGGTCTCCCCTCCCTGATGAAACGTGGCGAGCCCCAGAGCGGGCAGGGAGGAGAGTGCAGACTAAGTTGGCGTCCTTACTGGAGTCTTCCCCTGGGGCTCCTAAACCGCGTTGGCCGCCCGGGGCTGGGTAAGAGATTGCACGGCTGCCAGCGCCCTCCTCTCCCCGCTCTCGAAGTCGGAGGCTCCCCGGTTGGGTCGTCCAGGAGCTGCGTGGACTCCTCCTGCCTTCAGATCGCTCAGCCTCACATTCCTCTTGTGTTTAAAGCTACCTCATGGGAACGTCGTGTTGGTTAAATGACACATAAAGGTTTGCCCAAGGTTTTCTGGGGAGTGACTGTCGCTCTGGGGACAATATTGTAAGGAAGAGACTCCATTATCTGCCACCAAAGCCCAAATCTAACCTCTCAGAGGAGCTGAAAGGTCAGCTCTAACTCTGCAAATTCCTCTCTGTATGGATCTCGCAGAGAACTGAAAAAGATTCCCAGAGAAAAGCATGTGGAGCCCCTTCTCAGAATAACGTTTAAAAGTTAAAATCCACAGGATGACAAAGAAAACATAACAAGGCAGTTGTCAAAACATTAGAAGAACGTTTGATAGAGTAGTAGCTTTTTTCGATCTAGCATCGGCCCAACAACTGGTAATTTCTTAGAGTGATGAGTGTAAATGACATGTGGAGAAATCTGTAACAACTGTAATGAGATTTTGAAATATCTGTGATTTCTATTGATGGCAAATTCTACTGTAGTTCATTGCCTACATTCATGATTGAAGCAAATGCTAACTTTCAATTAAAGATCGGTGAAAATAAATGTGTATTTCTCCCTCAAATTCACAAATCCCATGAATGGATCTACTCAGGGACCTCTTGGAAGTCCATGGACGCCTGTTAAGAACTCCTGCAGACCACGCTCCTCGTTTGCAGGTAGAAAAACTGAGGCAATCAGGTCTCCTGATTCTTAAACTAAAGGTCGTTCAACTGAGGGGCATAACTCTGGTACTTGGGGAAAGTGATTTCTAAACTATTTTTTTCACCCTAGAATTTCCAGGTTCACTCTGCCAAAAACATCCAAGTGGCTAGAAGCCTCCCTTGTTTGTATCATTCCCCAGGCGCACCACCTGGGACACGAACTTCCCTCAGAGGTGCCTCCCAGGGCCATCTCCAAGCTTCGTGGAGCCCAGAGGCTTGAACCAGCCTAAGCCTTTCAGGCTTCAGTGGGGGTTGATCATCTTCTTTTTATTTATAAAAATGACACTTTGTCTTTCAGTTCCCTGCTGTGCCCTCACTGGGGCCCTGAACAAAATAAGGTAACCTGAAGTATTCAAACGGCACAAGGAATTGAGGCTCTGTCAGGTAAAGCTCCTTTAAGGTACTCACCTGGATTTCCCTCCTGTGAACACAGTGTGGCTCTTTCCCATTTGACGAATGTCGAAATGGGGCCAGAATCCCTGAAAGCCCATGGAAGAAGAGTGAGCATGCCAGCGTGGCTGGCACAAGTAACCTTCTCTTCCCCAGGCTCCTGAGGGCAGAGCACATTTCTCTTCAAGAAACAAGTTTCAGCCAGGCATGATGGCGCGGCTGTAGTCCCAGCTATTCGCTCAGGAGGCTGAGGTAGGAGGATCACTTGAATCCAGGAATTCCAGGCTGCAGTGAGCTGTGATGGCATCACTACACTTGAGACCTGTCCTCACTTGAGCAGTTCTGTCAACTGTCCCATCCCCCTCCCAGACCCCAAGTCCCTAATATGCCTCTTTACCTCAGGGCAGAAGTTCTTTCTTGCTCTCCGACTGGGGGCTCACGTTGAATGAGCTCTCAGCCCTCAAACTGTTCTTTGGTCTTGTTAAAACCCCATCTCCCCACTTTCGTCATTGCTCATGCCTTCAGGACTGTTACATTTGGTGTTTGAAAACCACAGAGTGGGTTTTAGCAGTCAGAGGTCTTCCTACCCCTCTTTCCTCCACCTCCACTGTGGACTTTTGTCTCCTTTCTCTCTTGCACCTCTTCCTCTGCTGCTTTCTCCTTTTCCTCTTCCTTTTTTCTTCTTTCTTTTTTCCTTTTCATTTCTTTTTTTTTGGTATTAGTAGACTAAGGTGCTGAGAGGGCTCAAAAAAACCACCCCTTAAAATTGTTTTCTTTATATTAGTAGACAAAGCTTTTTTGCTTGGTAATTTATAATAAAGATAGGACTGATAATAGAATAACTAGAAGATAAAAGGACAGAATGTGCCCTCAAGTATAAAGAGAGGTGCTGTCTGGGCGTGGTGGCTCACGCCTGTAATCCTAGCACTCTGGGAGGCCGAGGCAGGAGGATCCTCAAGGTCAGGAGTTCAAAACCAGCTGAGCGAGACCCCCCCCCCCCCGTCTCTACTAAAAAAGAATAAATTAATTGACCAACTAAAATAAATACAAAAAATTAGCCGGGCATGGGTGCACATGCTGTAGTCCCAGCTACTCAGGGGCTGAGGCAGTAGGATCACTTCAGCCCAGGAGATTGAGGTTGCTGTGAGCTAGGCTGATGCCACGGCACTCACTCTAGGCTGGGCAACAAAGTGAGACTCTGTCTCAAAAAAAAAAAGAGAGGTGCCAAGTGGGCCTGGTGTGATGGATGGTTTGGGAGGCTGAGGTGGGAGGATCGCTCTTCTCCAGAGTGAGACATTTGTCCTTAAAAAAAAAAAGGGCCGGACGCGGTAGTTCACGCCTGTAATCCTAGCACTCTGGGAAGCCGAGGCGGGTGGATTGCACAAGGTCAGGAGTTCACAACCAGCCTGAGCAAGACCCCGTCTCTATTATAAAAATAGAAGAATATATTGGCCAACTAATATATATATATGTATAAATTAGCTGGTATGGTGGCTCATGCCTGTAGTCCCAGCTACTCGGGAGGCTGAGGCAGGAGGATGGCTTGAGCCCAGGAGTTTGAGGTTGCTGTGAGCTAGGCTGACGCCATGGCACTCACTATAGCCTGGGCAACAAAGCGAGACCCTGTCTCAAAAAAAAAAAAAAAGAAGTACCATGTCTTTTTCTGAGAGTAGGTTTTGATTAAGGGTAGGTAAGAGAACAGAGATGCTCTAGGCTGAAGGGGAAGAAGGGCAGGGAGCTGCCAAGGAGCCTGGAGTGATGGGGTGGCATACAGGAGAGATGGCATGCAGAGAGATTGGGAGTGGGGGCCCCCAAAATGGTTCTGTGTGTGGGGGTGAGAGGATGCATGGGTAACCCTATCTCCTCACCCTTCCCTTCCCTTCCCTCCGCTCTCCTCCCCTCCTCTTCTCTTCCTTGAGACAGAGTCTCCTCTGTTGCCCGGGCTAAAGCTTCATCATAGCTCACTGCAACCTCAAACTCCTAGGCTCAAGTGATCCTCCTGCCTCAGCCTCCAGCTGGGACTACAGGGACGCATCACCATGCCCAGCTAATTTTTCTATTTTTAGTAGAGACACGTCTCACTCTTACTCAGGCTGGTCTTGAACTCCTGAAGTCAAGAGTCCTCCTGCCTGCTCCTGGAGTGCAGGATTATAATGTGAGCCACCACTCCTGCCTTCCTCACCCATTTCTATTCTGTTCTGTTCCCTCTTGGTCAGTGTTAGCTGGAGAGATTGCAATGATTATTCCTAAATTCTAGGGTAGTATCCTTTAGATGGTAAGAGCATTGGTCTGAGAATTAGAAGCTTTGGTTCTAAGTCCTGCAAGGCTGGGCCAGGCCCTGTGCCAAAGGACCCCAGCACAACAGGAAGCCCTGTGTTTTGGAACAAAGGTGTCATGATTGCCAAACAGTGCCAGGCTACTCAGAAGCAAGGGGGGAGAGGTAGAGGGAAATTTTCCATAACTATCTAGAGTCACTCTCCCCCTTGCTATCCTGTATTTGTATTAAATAGTACTCTGTGGCCTAAAAACAGTAAAATGCTCTGGGTTTGAGCACTCTCAGTTGGCCCCAGTGAAGCCATCATCAGATGAGACAGACATCAGAAACATTTCCTTATTCCATCAGGGTGTTCAGCTTTCACAGAAGAATGATCCATTCCAGTATGTGGGGGATGGGACCCATGTTGAGAAGGCATCTCTCACCCCATCTGGTCTTTTTTTTTTTTTTGAGACAGAGTCTTGCTTTGTTGCCCAGGCTAGAGTGAGTGCCGTGACGTCAGCCTAGCTCACAGCAACCTCAGTCTCCTGGGCTCAAATGATCCTACTGCCTCAGCCTCCTGAGTAGCTGGGACTACAGGCATGTGCCACCATGCCCGGCTAATTTTTTTCTATATATATAATTGCAATTAATTTCTTTCTATTCTTCTAATTTCTTTCTATTATATAGAGATGGGGTCTCACTCTTGCTCAGGCTGGTTTCGAACTCCTGACCTCAAGCAATCCTCCCACCTCGGTCTCCCAGAGTGCTAGGATTACAGGCGTGAGCCACTGCAACCGGCCCCCATCTGGTCTTTCACCATCATCCTGGTCACAGGATACCTAGCCCCACAGACATAAACTGCTAAACTGGGGCCTGGTCTCTAGTATACCAATCCTTATTTCTGTCTCTGTGAGAGTGCTCAAATGTATGACATCTGTTCCCTAAAATGGATATTTGTCCAAATGTGGCTCTGTGCAACGTCTTTCCAAAGGTTGGCTATGAGCATTCAGCATTTCTCATCCTCCATGCGCTATATTGATATTGCTAACACTAAGAAGTTAAAGCTAACCAGAGCTGTGGATGTGTGCAGGTGGGGCCCCTTGAGTACTAGCAGACACACATGTATTCATGCTGGTTATTGTGAAAACCTCAAAGTTCTGTAAAGACCTCAAGGCTCAAAACTGAATCACAGTGGGTTTCCTTCTTACCTGTCATGCAACCATCCCATCCTGCAGATAGTTGCATGCATAGTTCTTTTAAAATGCTGCTTTTGATCACCTTCACTGAATGTTACTGTGCCAGGCACTGTGAGGTTGCTGGTGACTGAGCTGGGCCTATTCTCAAGGGAGCATGCTTTGTTGGAGAGGTGCATGTCGCCGTGAGACAAGGCAGAATGCACCACGAACTGTAAATACCCTAGAAGTGAGAGAAAACCCAGGAAGAGGGAAGGATGGAAGGAAGAAAGGGAGTCTACCTATGGGCCAGACACTGTTAGGCACTCTGCATGGATGAAGTGACATTGCAATTGAGCTTTTAAGAAGGCAGGATTTCAAAAGCAGGGTTAGAGGAACAAGATGAAGCAACAAGAATAGGACATATGGGGCTTCTTTGGACACCGTTGAAGCAGTGAAGTGGCTAGATTACAGGCTACCTCTTGGTCATCCACAGCCTCCCTAATATTTATCCTGTGGGCCTTTTTTTTTTTTTTTTTTTTTTTTTTTGAGACATAGTCTCACTGTGTTGCCCGGGCTAGAGTGCTGTGACATCAGCTTAGCTCACAGCAACCTCAAACTCCTGGGCTTAAGCATTCCTACTGCTTCAGCCTCCCAAGTAGCTGGACTACAGGCATGTGCCACCATGCCCGGCTAATTTTTTCTATATATTTTTTAGTTGTTATATTCATTGTTATATTTATTGTTATTGTTATAGTTATTGTTTAGTTGTTATATTTTTAGTTGTTATATTTTTAGTTTCTATATAATTTTTAGTTGTCTGGCTAATTTATTTCTATTTTTAGTAGAGACAGGGTCTCGCTCTTAGGTTGGTTTTGAACTCTTGACCTCGAGCAATCCTCCTGCCTTGGGCTCCCAGAATGCTAGGATTATAGGCATGAGCCACCGCGCCTGGTCTGGTTTTTTGTTTTTTTTTTCTTTAGAGACAGGGTTTTGCTTTGTTGTCCAGGCTGCAGTGCAGTGGCATGGTCACAGCTCACTGTAGTCTGAAATTTCTGTGCTCAAACAATCCTCCTTGCTTCAGCCTCCAGAGTAGCTGCCACCTGCCTCAGCCTAGTCAGAATCTCATCTGTTCACTGCAGCCAAAGGTCACTTTAGCTTTTGTGACCATTTCTACATTTCACTCAACTATATTGGATTTTAGGCAATGAAGATGCCAGAGGCTGTGTCCGTGTGTTATCTGTTGCATTTCCCCTGGTGGCTCCCCTGGCTGCATCCGCAGGAGGCTCTTAGAGTGTGTGAGTCCGTGGGGTGCTGGCGGGGGACAGTGCCCCTGGCCTTGGCCTGCTCCAGGGCTTACCCTGCTTTATGACTGCCGTGGCATTGTGAGCAGCACCAGTGGCGGTGATGAAGCAAGTCAGAGGCTCCAGGGGCCTGGTGGGAGGCCTGGCTTCTGCCCTGGAGAAGGGAGGTTCAGAGTGAACTGATACCTGAAGGTAACCAAGCCTCAGAGCCAGGGGGCATTTAGAGCAAAGCTGGGTAGACATTTTAGTGCTCGCCTCCAGCCACTGACTGTCACTGCTGGCCTCTTGCACAGAGTCCTTGGTTATATTAATATAATATGAATAGGGAGTCAAAGCTGTTTTATTGTGGAGATGGGGGTGACAGCTTCAGGGGTTTGGGTGTCAGGATGACAAGGCAGGCCCTAAGAAGAACATCTTTCTCAGCCTGTATTCTATTCTAATTTCCAGTCTGTAGTGAATGACTCACCAGGAAAGCTCAAGTTCTGTTTTCTTAAATAGAAGGCAGAGAAAATCTGTCTGCCCCAATTACTGAAGTGTCCTGGAGAGTCTGCCCTGCCCCTCCGTGGTCATAGAGGACACCATGTTACTTTGCAGCCAGGCCTCCTGCTGATGGGAGACCAGGCCCGTGGGGCTGCTGGCTTGAACGCCACCACCTGTTCCGCACACTGATTTCTACACAGTTTCTCCAGGATGCACCAGCCCGATGGCAGAAATGGCTGCAGTCACAGCTCTGTCTGTCCTGCTGGCTGGGGCTCCCCCTACTCTCCACGGCAAAGCCACACCCTGTCATGTGAAGAATAGGGAGGAGGCTTCTTTCCCCAATGCAGGGCCACATTGCCTCCTGGACACCAAAGTAACAGGATGTGTGGCCCCGCAGCTCCAGATCCCCCATCCTCCCACACAATCCACTAGAGGGGGGGTGAGCTTTTGGTCTCCTTATCTCATCATTGCACCTCTTCCTCATGCTGCTTTCTCCTTTTCTCACTTCCTCTTTTTCTTACTTTACTTTTTTCCTTTTCATTTCTTTTTTTTGGGTAATTAGTCAGACTAAGTGCCTCGAGAAGGCCATCCAACCACCCCTTAAAAATTTGTTTTCTTAATATAATTAAGCTAGACAAAGCAATATATATTTTGCTTGGTAAATTATAATA